ATGGTTTCTCCAAAAACCTCCCAAGTCCTCCTCCACCTAACCCCAGTGCCTACTCACCCCCAGTCTGGGCATCAAAGCGCTTGGTGGCAATGGCATCAATCTCATCAATGAAGATGATGGCTGGGGCGTTCTCCTTGGCCAAGCGGAAGACGTCTCGCACCATGCGTGGGCCTTCTCCCAAGTACTTCTGCACAAATTCAGACCCCACCACTCGGATGAAGGCAGCTAGAAAGAAAGAGTGTGTTAGACCTTCCTTTTTCCAGAGGCAGGGGCTGCTCATCAAGCAACTCACCATCATACACTCATCCGGACCGTGCTCAACCAGGCAGAAACCAACTGACCCAAAGGCAAGTAATAACTGAAGTTGGTGAAAACGATAACGTAATCTAGAATCAGTTCAAAAATAAATACAGCAGAGCCCCACTACTGTATCTGCAGATCAGTTCCAAGCCTTCCCTCCCACGAATGCTGAAGAACACAAATACTGTATTAAAATGATATATATAGCGTGGCCTCTGGTTCCGTCTTGTGGCCTGTTCTGGTAACACACCTTGGAAACATCTATTTCTTGGGGGTTTTTTATTTAATATTTTCAGGCTGTGGATAGGTGAAACTGCAGGTACTGATCCCATGAACAGGGCCGTCCTACTGTACAATAAAACACTAAATTGTGTCAACAAAAGCTGTGCCTTCAAGAGCAACCACACAGTATGTGTTTCCCTGATAAGGGGGTTTGTCCGTCAACACCAAACCAGCACGTAGCTGCAGCGAGCCTGCCAGATGGACAGAAACATGTGTCATTGCTCTTGTGCTATTGTGTAAATTTCCAAACAGGAGGAGAAAAGATCAAACACAACCAGGAAGCGATCCATCCATTCCAACAGCCTCGCTCACCAGTGGTGTGATGGGCCACTGCCTTGGCCAGCATGGTCTTTCCACAGCCAGGGGGGCCATACATCAGCACTCCTCGTGGAGGATCGATGCCAATCTGAAATAGCCCCAGAAAAAGAGAACACTCATGAAGAAGGTAGTTTCCAGGGCTGTCGCCACATTTCACATCACAGCACACACAGAGAGAGTGACACCCACTCCTAAGGAGCAGCACAAGTTTTTAAAGACCCTTTGCAATTATAATACAAATGCAGAATGACATCTGCATCACTGCAAAATAAATCATCTCTCACTTACACTCTGGCCGCCTTCTGCAGAAGAACGCAAAATGCCCCTTGTTATTGATATTCCACCTTTCTAATGGCACCTATCATTGATACCCCACCAAACCTCCAAGACAACAAATAAAACATGTGAGCTTCTTCCGGAAGGTAGTGAACACACATGTGCACCAGACAGGGTCATATAGAAAACATCTGTTCAGCTGACCCCTTAGATCAAAGGTGGGGAACTTTTGGCTACCATCTTGGACTTCCATCCCCAATATCTCTTAAAATTGAACATGCTGGATAGTACTGATGAGAACCAACGTTCAAACAACTGGAGGGCCAGAGATTCCCCATCCTGGCTTAGGTGCTGCCGCTGCTACCGACACTGTTCCATAGATACAGGCTTTCCTAGTACTCCTCCTTCATCCCTGAAATGACCACATTAAAACCTGGCAAGTAGCCGCAATGCTGCAGGCCCTTCATACAGTGGTCATGCCCTTCACCCAGCTCACATATTGTGAGCAGTATGCACAAGGAAACTTTGCTCATCACAGACAACCACAGAAATAGGAACCAAGGAGCAAAAGGAGTTCCACTTTGATATACAGTGGTGCCTCACATAGCG